ATTAACATGTCAAAGGATTTAGCAGAGATGGTGAACGATATGCATGAATAGATGGAGAATTTCATTGGAGAGGTGAAAGCTACAAGAAAGAGTCAAATGGAATTTCTGGAAATAAACAGCAACAGAATGAAGAATTCCTTTAACAGGCTCATCAGTAGATTCGGCACAGCTGACGAAAGAATCAGTGCCCTTGAAAACAGTCAGTAGAAATTATGCTAAAACACAAGAAAAAAGTTTGTTTTTTTTTTTTTAAAGACAGAACAGAACATCCAAGATATATGGGACAAGATCAATTATGAAACAGCCTAACATATGGAATCCAGATCCCAGAAGGAGAAGAGACAACAGCACAGTAGTCCAGGCAAGAGATGGGGACAGCTTATGAGAGTTGGAGTAGTCACAGCTTCTGGTATTGCCCATCTGACACAGATTTCCATTTGGGCCACCAGGCTCCGAGCCTTGGTGGTAGGTGATGGGGAAGGAGACGACTGAGAGACACTCTGTAGGTCTGATTTTATTTACATTGGAAAAAGCTGAGATGTAAGGCAAGGGTGAACAGAGAAGATCAGACTGAGAAAGAAGAAGAGGCAGGAAGGATGAGAGGACAAGAATCCAGAGACCAGGGTTTGGGGTGAGTTGTTGGAATTTGGAGGCAGAAAGTTAATAGTCGTGAGTAGCTACTGTAATTCCATTCACTGGGAAATGGCTGAGAACGTTAAGAAGATTTCCCATATTCTATGAGTGGAATATCCCTGTGAGTGATTAATGTTTTATTTTTGGTGTTTGAGGGGTTTCTTTGGATTGAAAGAACTCAGTAGTAATTTTTGTCATGTTTTGTTTTTAAAAATGGCTTGCAGTTTGTTATGTGTCAAACTCTGTGCTAAGCACGACTTCATTTAATCCTCACCACAACACCTCAAAGTTACTATTCCTTCTTTGACAGATGAGACACAAACTGGTAAAGAAACTTGCTCAGAATCTTGCAGTTTAGCAAGACGCAGACAGGAGGTTTCGTTCTGGTAAGTGGACTCTAAAGATGGTATGTTTAATCATTGTACAAAGCATCATTACTAAAAACCAGCTTTTGCATGCATTATTGCATTGAGTGTCCATAGTGATTTGAATTACTTTTTTAAATTGACAAATAATTGTATATAGGGTACAATGAGACAGTTTAAGATATCTATCTATATCTATCTATCTATCTATATATATATCTCATGGAATGATTAAGTCAAGCTAATTAATATATCCATCACCTCACATACTTACTTTTTATAATGGTGTGAACATTTAAAATCTTTCTTAGCAATTTTGAAATATATATTACATTAACTGTAGTCGCCATGCTGTGCAACAGATCTCAAATATTTTATTCCTCCTGTCTAACTGAAACTTTGTGGCTGGGTGTGGTGGCTCATGCCTGTAATCCTAGCACTTTGGGAAGTTGAGGTGGGAGGATAGCTTGAGGCCAGGAGTTCAAGAGCTGTCTGAGCAACATAGTGAGACCCTGTCTCTACAAAAAATAGAAAAATTAGCCAGGCATGATGGTGCCTGCTTGTAGTCCCAGCTACTTGGGAGGTTGAAGCAGGCAGATTGCTTGCACCTAGGAGTTTGAGGTTGCACTGAGCTATGATGACATCATTGCACTCTAGCCTGAGTGACAGAGTGAGACTCTGTCTCAAGAAAAGAAAAATAAAGAAAACTTTGTACCTTTTGACCAACATCTCCCTGTTTCTCCCCCTCCACGCACACACCCGTCAGCCTCTGGTAGCCACCATTCTACTCTCTACTTCTATGAGTTGAACCTTTTTTACATTCCGCATGTAAGTGAGATCATGCAGTATCTGTCTTTCTGTGCCTGACTTATTTCACTTAGCATGATGTCCTCCAGGTTCATCCATGTTGTCACAAATGACAGGATTTCCTTCTTTTCTAAGGCTGAATATTATTCCAGTATGTATATATAGCACATTTTTCTTGATCCTTGGTGGACGCTTAGATTGATTCCACATCTTAGTTATTGTGCACAATGCTGCAGTAAACATCAGAGTGCAGATATCTCCCAACATACTGATTTCAATTCCTGTGGATATATCCCCAGACGTGGGATTACTGGGTCATATGGTGGTTCTATTTTTCATTTTTCGAGGAACTTCCCTACTGTTTTCCATAGTGGTTGTAGTAATTTATATTCCCAGCAACTGTGGACAAGGGTTCCCTTTTCTTCACATTCTCATCAACACTCATCTTTTGTCTTTTTTCAGGTCCCTTGCCTATTTTTTTAATTGTTTTTTTTTTTTTACTGTTGAGTTGTTTGAGTTCTTTATATATTTTGGATATTAACTTCTGATCAGATATATGGTTTGCATATATTTTCTCCCAATCTGTAAGCTGTCTCTTCATTCTGCTGATTGTTTCTTTTGCTGTGCAGAAGCTATTTAGTTTGATGTAGTCCCATTTGTCTGTTTCTGCTTGTGTTGCCTGTGCTTTCAGGATTGTATTCAAAAAATGATTGCCCAGACCAACATCATGGAACTTCCTCCCTATGTTTTCTTCTAGTAGTTTTATAGGTTCATGTCTTACATTTAAGTCTTTAATCCATTTTGAGTTGATTTTTATATATAGTGTGAGATAAGTGTCTGATTTTTTTCTTCTGTATGTGGATATCCAGTCTTCCCAGTACCATTTATTGGAGAGACTTCCTTTCCCCATTATGTGTGTTCTTGGCACCTTTGTTGAAAAATCAATTGATCATAAATGTGTGGGTTTATTTCTGGGCTCTCTATTCTGTTCCGCTGGTTGATGTGTCTGTTTTTATGCCAGAACCATGTTGTTTTGATTATTAATAGTCTTTTTAAATGTCAGGTTTCAAGTTTTGGGGTTTTTTTTAGATGTCAGGCTGTATTTCTTTGATCCTGACTCTGTGCGAAGCCAGAAACACAAGACAGCTTAGCCTGTTGGAATCAAATTGGGGTAAGATGGTTGGGGTGGACAGAAATGGAGAGAGAGCCACAGACTTGGGATATTTAGGAAGTAAATTGTGGACTTTGTGATAGATCGGAGGTGGGCAGTGAATGGAGGGTCGTGTCCAAGATGATTGGGATTGTCTCAGATCTCAAGGTGTTGTGTCTGTTCCACATTTTGTGGCCATTTGTGTAAACTTGTGGTAGCAAGCACTGCCAGTGGTGACCTAATGCCCAGTTCCAGGCATTGTGGAGAAAGTAAAAGGAACACAGGCCCAAGCAATTGCCTTCAAGAAACCAAGGGGACAAGCCCAAACAAAATAGAAAAAATGAATGACAGTATGTAACAGTGACTAAGGGCCCCACAATGCCTATGGGGAAGTTAGACCAGGAAGAGCCATCTGTAGGAGATTATTAAGCAAAGATTTACAGAGTGTTAGGACTTCAGTCCTATCAGAAGAATCAGGTGTCAATACAGACATCCCATGAGATGAGGGAATGGAGCGATGCCTTAGAACTAAATGAGTTCTGGAACAAAATTCACAAAAAAGCAAATCTAGCAAAATTTCCCTCCCCACTGGTTTGCCTCCACACTTAACAAAAAGTAGCATTCCATTTCTGCCAACCCCCTAAGAAGACGAGAATGGTTTGGAATTACTTTAGTCGACAAATACATATTTTGTAATAAAACATGCATGTCTAATCATATATATTTTTTTAAGAAAAATATGTGCCAATCATCTTTTATAGATATAGTTTCTGTGCCCAGGCTCCATTCTAAACCAGTACAAATATCACAGGTGGTCTCAAAGGAGATAAAACTAAGCTCTTTTTTTTCTTTTAAATTTTGTTTTCAAGATCAAAGCTTAGAAGGTAGAAACTAAACTCTTAAAATTTTGTCTTCCCATATAAGCAGCCTCAGAGAACTGCCAATCTATATTTTTCTGTAAATGATGACACCAAGAAAACCCCATTATCTTGGTTACTTACGTGTAAGAACTCACGATGTGAACATCTGCCATCAGAATGGGAATATATTGTTGTAACATTTCCTTGTCTTCAGCAACATGCTTGGGGGTGCCTCCAAAATCAATGAGTCGACGGATAACTTGTTCTTCAGACAATTGCTTATCTCTGGGCATGCAAAACTGGTCCTTTAACTAGAAACATTAACAACACAGCCCTGATATTTCATATAACACACTTGCTCATAGACTGAAAACTGTATCTATAGGTTTCAGGGGCGAAACTATTTTCTTTCTAAAAGCAGGGAGAAGGAAGTTCATCAGTAATGCCATTGCAAACCTAGGGCCCCAGACCGATCAGCATCTTTCTCCAGATGAAATGAGGACATCAAAGAGGTAGAAGGAGGTGTGGCAGGAATAGCAGCACCAGGTTTAAAAAGCCACTGTCGTTCCAAAAATGTGATATCACTGTCCCCTTTTGAAATTTCAGGGATTCTTTTTCTGGCTCTGATTTAGTTACTTTACTGAAAGTTGATTAAGTTGCTAGCTGGCCAAGAAGGAAAGGAAAAGCACTATGGGATCAGTATTAGCTCAGAGGTACCAGGGACAAAACAGGCAACCATAAGGGAATAGTTGTGCATTTCGGGGAAATGGAGAGAGAATGATATTGAAGGAGATTTGAGAAACTTTTCAATAGCACATAATATCCCTATCATTGTCCCCATTCTAGACCAGAATTCACCAGATAGGAAAATAATGGCTTCGTTTTTACCTTCCCCCTTACCCCCCTCCCTGTTTCCCTCCTCCCCACTGCCCTTCCTAAAATAAAGCTAAATTACTTACGTGGGGTGGAGGAGCACTCGACACAAAGAAATGCACTGGTTCTAGCTTATACTTCTCTTTTAGGTTTAGTGCAGTCAAAAAAGCAACATAGGATCCCATACTAAATCCAAGAAGAAAGAAAAAGATGATCACCCATCAAAAGTCAATAGGAACAAGTATCATAAACACATCATAAGCACAATGGGAACAAGTATCATGTTACAGACAAAAGTGCAAGTTTGTTGATTGACAACTCTGATTTCTAAAAGGTATATTTTTAATGATTTATGTCGGCATAAAAAAAGTCTCAAAGACAGCCTAGAATAAAATTTCATCCTTATTTCCACAGTGTCTCGAAATTATTTTAAATTTCTTTTTCTTAAAGATGTGTGTCACTAAGCCTTAGATGGTATATATCAGCAGTTCTCGAAATATAGTCTGGGGACCCCTGGGAATTTCTGATACCCTAACAGGTGGCCCAAGAGGTCAAAGCTATTTTCAGGATAAATACTAAGATTTTATTTGCCTTTTTTACTCACATTCTCTCATGAGCGCACAGTGGAGTTTTCCAGAAGCCATATGACGTGGGCTATTGCAACAATTCAACTGCCTTCTATTATGCCAGACATTAAACAGATTGGCAAAAGTGTAAAATAATGCCACTCTTCTCACTGCATATTTTTTGGGAAAATATAGTCTTTTCCATAAAAATGTATTATTTATGTCAACATATGATGAGTTTGTTAATGTGGTTTTTAGATAAGGTGATAATTAAATTCTTTGAAATTTCTTAGTTTTACTTTCCAATATGGTAAATGTTGAAATATTTGGTGAATATACAGTAAATATTGAAATATTGATATGTCACATATAAACAAAAGATCTTCAAGGTCCTCAGTGCATCTTAAAAGTATAAAGGGTCACTGGGACCACACAGTTGGTGAACTGCTGCAGATATTCTATAGATATATATCGTAGACAGATTGCCAGAGGTTATTCACTTATAAATTGTATTGATGTATTTTACGAAAGAAAGGGAAACTCAGTCCCGTGTTCATTGCCAATGGAGTGTAAAGTGTAGGTAATTTGGAAATATGGATCAAGAACTTTACCAATGGGCGTATCATTTAACATAAATTCTGGGAATTTATCCTAAGAAACTGATAGGAGATTTATGCTAAATTTTCTATAAAAATGCTCATTGAAGTGTTGTTTATAACAGAAAAAAACAGAACTAACTCATACCGACAAAAGGAGGTTAATAAAACAAATCATGAAGCATTACATACTCGCAGGCTGTGAAAGATATTCACAGCAATAAGTGAAAAAGGTCAAGTGAAGATACAAAACAGGTCGCCACCACGTGAAAGTGCTAAGGAACCACAGCAAAACTTTAAAGCATTGTTATCTAGATGGTGGGATGATGGGTACTTTTTATTTTTCAATTTTTGTTCGCCTATATTTATAAATACTAATATAGTAGCCAAAATTCATTGAGTCCTTACTATGTATCAATTTATTGATGATCACTATTCATTTAATCCTCACAACTTGGGACTCTTCTTACTCCAGCTTTATAAAGGAGGAAACTAATTCAAAAGCCTAAAGAATTTGCCCAAGAAGCAGCCAGAAGCCCAGGGTCTATGACCTAACCTCATAGTTATACAATCTATAATAGCTTAAGAAACATACATTATTTGCATAGTTTTTAATTTTCAAACTAAATGGAATATGAGTGGCTGTTATGAATTACAAGTGTTGATTTTTTGCCTAAAAGGAAAAAAAAAAAGGTATACTTGCTATGCAAACTGGTGAATTGTAAAAGTTGTGATTGGTCATAATGACCCAACATGCTGTTTAATCAATGCAAAAGGGATGCATCCCAGAAGACACAAAGAACAACATTAACCATAGACTTGGGATTGAAGAAACTCTCCCAGATGTCTTTGAAAACAGTTTTTTCAAATACCTGTGGCCAAAAAATGCAAATGGTTTATCCTGGATGATTGGCAGCATGGCACAAACAATTTCATCAGCCAACTGGTACATGTCCTTGGCAAAAGGCTCTTCCAGTCGACTTTCTCTTCCGGCAAGCCTTACGGAATGCACTAGAGATCAAAAAACACAAGTTAGGGCCGGGCGCGGTAGCTCTCTGGGAGGCCAAGGCGGGCGGATTGTTTGAGCTCAGGAGTTCGAAACCACCCTGAGCAAGAGCAAGACCCCGTCCCTACTAAAATAGAAAGAAATTAATCGGACAACTAAAAATATATAGAAAAAATTAGCC